CGTAAAAGAAAAGACATACATGCGACTCACATTTTACTAAAATATCCCAAATGCTACCTTTCTTTTAAATCTTTACTGCATTGTACTTGATTTCCGTTTTGTTTCGATTTTTTGATGCTCGAATTAATCTTTAAGTCTTATGAACTTTCTCACTGTCTTTTCCTTCTCTTCTTTTCTTTCTGTGCCTCTTCCTCCCTCTTTTCTCTGCTTTGTGAAGAGCAGTCGCCCTTTTTTGTCAACTGCCCTAATGCCTCCTCCTTCAGTCTAATCGTAAAATAATAACAGGATGCTAGACAACGCGACCGCACTTATCAAAGGAGTCTGACTCGTTTGGTCTCACCTGCATCCCTTCCAAGTGTATTACATTTCTTTCGATGATGGACACTATTATTTTGTTCGCTATAATCATTAGGGTAGCTTACAGTTCTTGAATTGACGAGAGAAGGAGCGAGTCTATTACTATTTAAACAATTCTTTTTCCGGAAGGAGTAATTTCAAAGAGAATCTTAATTTGATCGCCCAATTTAAAAGCACGAAATAGCCCTAATGGATCGTTGGACATGATACACGCCAATATAGTCACATAAATATGTGTTATAGAATGGAAACGATTAATTTAAAAGCGATACGCCAATTATATTTTGCGATCTGTGTAGCATTCTTAATTTAATCTCATCTCTCATCAATAAGAGACCTGTCAAGGTGCGAAGAGCTATGTTTTAAGGTGGCGTCATTTTGCAAACGGAAAATATAACGCTAACACCTGTTACAATATACCGATATGCGCGAAATACAATGCTTAAAGTGGCAATGAAAATACAATATTTTCAGAACTAATATCACTGATGTAATACAACTACGTAAATTACAATTCATAAATACTTCCTGCTTTGAAAGATCATAATCAAGAACCTACCAATATGACTAATGTTTATGTATAACTTCCTTTTTGCTTTGCTTCAACGCGTCCGTAAGGTGCGTCTATCTATTTATAGTCACGTCTTGTCACGATATGATCTATGTGCGATTACTGGATACGATGTATAAGTTGATAAGAGAGGCGAGATAGAGCGAAAATATCTCCGCAAATTCATATCTCTCAAATATCACGTATGATACGAAAAAGTCGTTGTTCCTGACGCAAATAAGGCTTTCTAAAAGGTCATTAGGCAGATACTGAAACACCGAGGTTCAACGCTCATGCACGTTCCCCATCTGTCGCTGATTTGAATCGCATTAACTTGAATTTGAACAGGTCGAGATACAATACAAATGAAAGCGAGCGGGCATGAACTTAGATTAATCGACAAGTCAGTAAGTTGGAAATCCACAGATAAATGCAGAATGAGAAATGAATAACATTTATATGTAAGACGTGATAAGTTTTATCGGAAAATTACATAAACCAATTGATTAACAAAAATTGAAGAAAAAAAATGGAAATAAAGGAAGATAACAAAGACGTGGAGCAAAAAATATCTTTGTAAAATGCATATCTCTCAAATATCACCTATGATACCTAAACAGTTGCACGTAATTTACAAGATAAATTTAAAATTCGAATTGCGTCAAATGATTAATTGAAATTAATATTTAGAATCTTGGTGCCAGTTCCTATTTGTTCTTTTCTACATAATTCTCTGAATTATAATAATAATTCCGAATTAATCGTTCATTGCCAATTTACGTGAAAGGGGTTTGCGTTTGAAAAGTTTTACACAGGAAAAAACCAATTTGCTTAAAGAATGAATAAAGAAATGAAAAGCAAAACCACCTGATGTGGAGCGTCATACAGAATCTGTAAAGCAACGACAGGACGCCTCCCATTCCGCTTCGCACTGACAGCGGCTCGACCGTCGTCGATGGCGATATCGCTATCAGGTTAACACGTAAAACGACACGTTTTAATCCAGCCGAACTAGCCTCGACGTCTGAATCTTAATTCACGACGACGGGATTGCACAGCATGTGGCAGCTTTGTAAGCCGTTGGGAGCCGCCGCGAGCGCCGACGGGACGCAATTTCGCGGCGACGCTAAGCGCTCTCAACTTAACGATCGCGCTAACGTCGAAAAAGTTTAACGATCGTATAGTGCATAGAGGCGTATACGCGCGTGAGTCCAACACGAGCATTCCGCCGTCGAGCTAATTATGTAAACGAGAATTTCGCGAAGCTATAAAAAGACGGAGAAGAAGAAGGGGAGATTCGCGATCCCTTATATACAAACGGCCTATCGCCTGGCGACATCGATCGGGATAAAATCGCGACACGCCGCGCGCAAACGTTTCATTAGGAATCGGTATAATTAAATGTCCAAGTATAATACGCTCAATTGCGAGGGACACGAATTGGAGCATGGCGAACGTTGCGATTTCGCTCGGTAAGTTAATTTACGTCGATTTGACGCTCGACCTAATTCTCGTTTCAAAGAAGCGAATTTATTCCAAAGTCGAAAACTAGAAAAATTTGGAGTTCTCCAAAGTTGCTTCCAAATAACCATAGACGTCTTAGAAATTTGCGGAAGTTTTTAAACTAATCCTAAAGAGAAACTTAATCACTAATAAGTATATAACTGTAGATTTACAACACATAATTTACTAAAAATTGGATAATCCTTTTATCCTTAAGTATTTCCCTAATTGTTTGTAATTGTTTTAGCAAATAATCCAATACGTTCAATGCATAAAAAATTTTGTTGAATAATAAGAATTTTTTAAATTAAAACAATCGAAGACATAATTATTTATATTTGTCAGAAATTATGTATAAAAATATCCTACTGAATTTTATCTGTAGTAATGTAATCGAATATTTTGACGATTTAGTTTAATTAAATTCCTGTATTAAATTAAATTTCTGCATTTGTGTGACATTCCATTTAAAGTGAGTTGTATACACTGTTAAAAATAAAGTCAGTTTCAATATTTTTGCATGTCTGAGAAAGTCCACTAAATGTCTTTAAGTTAAAATTAACATTTCATTTTTAACATATGATTCTTTCGAAACCTTTTAACATCAATGACATTTTTCACAGCAGAAAAATCGCACAAACGATCGTGGGATCGTTAGGCGAATCTAGTTTGACATAAAGGAAAGGTATTAAACGTGAAAATAAACTTAGCTCATGCTACGACGTGACACTATAAAGGACGTTCGGTGGACGACGTTCGATCAGAGCAGACTTGCAATTACGCGCGTTCCTGCCGTTACCAATAAAACTATTTATCATGACGAAGAGAGGATGGGAGCTTTCATAAATCCCGAAATAACCGGTGGGGTTGATCTGATACACGCTCGCGTGCACGACTGACGTTCATGAACGAAATGCTTCTCCTCGACGTAGAAATCATTATGCAATTATAACGAATCTAACCGCCGTACCGCATACTTTTGTGGAATCGACGAAACCGCCAAGTGTGTTATCCGACGCGGCATGCCGTTGGAGAAGAACTATGAAATTACTGAACAAGAACATCGGTCTGATAATAAGCAGAATTTTTCTTATCCAAACCAACAAAGACATCATTTATAATAATAAAATAAGATATTAAAAAGTTGTACGAAAATATAAAAATATTCCAGATATCAATAAACGTTTCTAAGCATAGTCACAAATCTTTCCACAAATTTAAATTTATTCGATACTTCAAAAAAATGTCACATTGTATCACATTTTTAATCAATCTTGATGATTAAGTTTAATTAAATTAAATTTCTATAAAGCGCACATGCCAGTTGCAATTATCTTAATATAATATTTTGTTATATACCGATAAAAAAATTTTACACAATCATTTGAACAGTCAGTATGATTCTTAAGCTACATAATTAAATACTTTTTTGAATTGAATATTTTGATAGTTAAATTTAATTAAATACCGTGATAGTATTGAGCTTAATTTCTGTGAAGAGACACAGAAATTTAATGCTAGTTGAAATTGCTTCAATACATTGCTTTTTTATTATTTATTGATTATTATCTCTTTTTTAAACGATTATTTTTCAGAATCTCTATTTTAATCAATTCCTCAAATTTTTCTAATTTTGATACCGCACAACTTATATAGTAATCATATATCTATATTACAGTTCTACAACAAAAAATATTACTATTTTTTTTTAAATACTTATATATCACGTATAAAATTAGTAAACATTGAGGAATTATATAGGCCTAGGAAATAATAAATACAAATATTATTTTAATTACTCAATATCTTGTGTTATAACCAATTTGAACTTTGTTCATTAAAGGACCAATAATACTTACGCAAATTCGCGGTAGCGCGCGATAAATTCAGAGCGGCGGAAACAATCGAAAGTCAAAGGCAAGCGAATTAAGTGGCGCTCCCTTCGAAGCATAAACAAGTGTTAGGGACGTGAATGGGATCACGTAAAAAACAGATTTCTACCCTCAGCAACGCGGACATTCTCGCGCACGAAACATGATTTCAGACGAGCGGTCGCCAGGAAGGGCGGGAAAAGGGGATAGGGACTAACGTCGTAAGCGATCCCAGGGGCTCGTCAGAAATGATCTTATGATTGACCGCGTTACGCCACTCCCTGAAGACCGTTTTTCAAAAGCTATTTCGGAAACACCGTCACCATCAACATACTTCAACGAGCAATCATAGAGAAATACTCTAAAGTAGATTACTAATTCGAAGAAGTATAATCTATTAATTTTATAACTATGAATCTTTTATAGAACACAAATTTCTGAAGAAAGAAAATATTTTAAAGGATACTCTTTTTTATAAAAGTGGAACAAGCCATCATCTAAAAGTCTTTTAAAAGAACCTAATTGAAAATTATATCTTTTACATGTTCGTTTTGTCTTCTAAAAAGAGTTTATAAAAGAAAAATAATATATATATATTTTTTTTTTAATAGTTGCAAACACATACACACAACATACAATTCGAGTATTTTTAAAACGGAGCTTGATTATGATTAATTTAAAGCTTTTCATTAGCTTCGTACAATCGTAAAATTTCTCACCCTTTTTTTCATCTTCTTCTTCTCCATGATCAGCAGCATGATGAAGATGATGTACAGTAGGATGATGCCCAGTGATCGCCGGTACCAGGGAATGATTGCTCAACGTCGGATGAGGATGATGCGGATGATGATGACTGAGAAATCTGACTGCAGCAGCAGCGGCCTGATGCTGGGCCTGCATGCTCTGTTGGACCTGACTCTGCACCTGACCCAAAACCGGATGATGTGGCGGCCATCCTGCCAAATGAAAAGGAAACACAGGCGTCGTCCTTTGGAATAATCTGGTCGGGGCCAGCAAAGATCCTCCGGAGGCACTGGAACCGCTGCCGGGAGGCAACGGAAAGGACAGACCGCCTCCAGGCTCCAGGACCATCTTTGGTACCAATTCGCCGGCGCTTGTCTCTCCCTTGGAGAGCGATCAGTCCGCTCGCATCAATCCCTGGGATCAGCGAAACCCGATCACTAGTACACTGATGTCATGTGTCTGTCAACGATGCGAAAGATTGGAAGATATCTGACGCTATTAAATGCTTCCGTTAACGCGCCTTTACGTCTTCCATTTCAGGCCCTTTGAAGCATGATCACTGAGCAATACAGTCCATAGATCATCATTGTCCATAAGTCACTCGCTTATAATAATCATTAAAACGCTTGCGAAAACTGTGATCTCGCAATTTCAAACAGGTTTTTGCATCTTCCATTCTAAGTCTTTCAGATCATTACTCAAATCCATTCCTATCTTTGATCTTCTCAGAAAGTGATCTTAAAAAACGGTGATCAGAGATCTTGTTGCTTCATAATGTGATATTTTATATATTTCTAATATTTTTGAACACTTTCAAGATCCATAAATCAATCCCATAGTCCAAACAGTCTTAATCACTCATAATTCCGTAATCCAATAACAATATTTTACATATTTAATAATTTTTTATGTATTAACATTAAATTGCCCTCGAACAGGTGACTGGCAGAACTCCACGAGCCGTCGGCCAGCTCAACGATGTACTCACAACTTTTAAATGATCTTTGTCTAACTAAATTCGATCAGTATCACAAATTAAGTTATAATATATCAATCATACTTCTATGTAGCGATGATTTTAAATGTAGATTGCACCATCTACAAATATAACTGTCCTTCACTTACTAAAACTCATCGATTGAAAACTAACGATCTGTCACGAACGTCTTTTCAAAAGTCCATCGTAGAATATTTGATCTGTGACGTCACTGGAAGTCTCACAATTCACGGGAGTGATTCTTCTTGGTGTACTCTAAAATTATACGCACGCCGACATCGAAACACCTAATTACGCACGTTTGCGACACTTTTTTAGCCACGCGTCACCGGATATACTTCCGAGTCCACACAGTTCCCGAATACGAGCGCGTGACAGACGAGTCTCCGGGATTTTCTTGGTAGCAAGGACCTGCTGGTTAAGACCACTACGGCATGAGCCAACGGCACAATACTATCTGCCTCGAGACTCGAGTCAACGACTCCCCTCTGTCCGCGAAACTGAAACTGGTTTCAAGAACCGCCCAGAAGCGCGCGATTGGCCGAGCCCACGGCGAGCTCGTGGGTTATACGAAACGTCGGACCAATGCAGGCGCGAGAATTATACGGACGGTGCCACCCTCCGGACGCTTTTTTCGTCCTGGAATTGAATCGACGCCTTGCCTGCGGTGCCTAGTGGGGGCGAATCAATTGGTGGCTGCCCTGAAACAGGCCGCAAGATGGCTCCTCCCTTCCCACAGCCACTACGGCTGATACCCTTACCGATCTCATCGGTCGAGGCATTCGGATTCGATCCGAGTTGGATTCGTCGTAATGGACAGGCAAAATATATATCAGTGAATTGTGTGGTTGTTTATTGCCCAACATTGTTGTCTCGCCTTTCGTCCATTTTCTTCTCGCAAATGAAAGCTTTTGAGATAGAAATTTAACTTCTCGGCCCACAGACACTAGGTATATAATTTAAAGTTTAACAGTCGAATTAAAAAATTATATTCAATAATTAGTATAAAATGGTGTATGAGTACGGATAATTTAATGTTAAGAATACTGTGCGGCAAAAATTCAAACAGATAATTAAATTTACACCCCGAAAGATTTCTGTGTGTTTAATTTGTTAAACATTACTTAAACATTAAATTATTAATGCTTTTCAACAAATGTTGAAATTAAAAATATCTTTAAAATCTCTCTCTGATATATCATGAATGATATTCCATATGGAATATCTTATTGATAAAATTAATGAAATAGGAAACCATCCTCGGGTCTCGAGTGAACGTACGAGAAAGAGACACCCCCATGATCACGCACCACCACTCCCGTCGCAATCCCCACTCCGGAAACTTCTTCCGCCCCTCCAACCCCCGAGGGCGCGATCCTCTTTTAATAAAAGGAGCTCGGAGGCGTTAAGTAATTACATCTATTCTCTACTGGGGAGGAAATTACCTGCGCCGAGTCGGTGTGGGAAAAATTGGGAAATTAAAATTAACCCCCCACCCCAACTGAGCTGTGCGCGCTTGCTCGCCCGTTCTGCCCCCTTTCTCGGATTGCGCGCTCGACCGGAACACTTCGTTCTCGAATTTAGGAGGAGCCGGCGGCCATTACCGCTTACGTAATCTTTTTTTGCACAGTGACGGCGGCAGCTTGTTAGCGAAGTTATTTAGCACGCGATTCGCTCCCCGTTCGTCGACGAGAACCGAGAGAGCCAGCACTCATCTATCATCTCTGGATATTGTTACCAGAATAACACTAATAAAGGACAATACATTTCAACGCTCATTGTTTTATATCCAAATGAAATTCCAGCCTTCTTCTCATTTCAACAACTATATAATTTCTAATCAATCAAGTAATTTATGGTACACTAAATTCTTTTATAGCATATCATAACATTTTGTATGTTGTTTACGACCCAATAGGCTTATTTCTATGCAGTTGTGTAACATATCTGTACAACAATTTTTACTTATTGTGATGTTACATTGACACGTATTGTTTACAATACGTATTTTTCTCAAATAATCTGCACACACACAAAATCAATTGATGAGATAATTTGGTAATAATTATTATATTTTCATTTTACTGTAACTCTTGATATTTTGTCTCTACAGAATCATTTGCATAATAAATTTATTGAAAATAATTTTACTAGACTATTTGTATTGTCGATATTTCAAAATAATAAACTATAGATAGAAAATGAATATATTAAATAACGACTAAGTTTGCACAAGAATCAAAATACTTGTGAAACACATACATTTTTACTTAAGAATGTGTATAATTAACGTTGTAAGAATTAACTTTTCGTTACACAAGTAATTAAATTACTTATCGATTGACAATAAGAAACCGTAAAGTTGATTATGTTGAAGGAAAAGGAGAGAGGTTGAAAGGGGTGAAATATAGTCATGAAAAATTGATCGAGCACGATATCTCACGTTTAGGTGCATCTTGGTGAAGGAATCAGAACACGCGCGGGTCATACATCAAATACCCGGAGGCTTTGCGCTCGCGCGCGCGCGTGCCGCCATGCTTTAATATAAAACTTAAATAACGACATACACAAGAGGGCAAGGCGGAAATGGCGAATAATCTTATGAATAAGTTCTTCGCTCGGTTCAACCGCGAATACTAAAGTCGCATGAGAATCCGCGCCTTTAAGTCTTGCAGTGTATCTTGAATTGATGAACATGGAGACGACCACACTTTCTTTCTTAAATTTTAGATCCTTACAAAATTTTAGGCACTTACAAGAGCTTAGAAAAGTTATCACAGAACATCTCAACTTTTTATAATTTTATATATTCATATATTATTTTGTTTAAATAATGTATTTTAGACCCAAAGAAGTGCAAAGGCTTTATATCAAATATGTTAATTTTGTGTTTACCTCATCAATATAGGAGATACATTTAATTTATTTTAACTGTGACTTTGACGATTATCGCAGTGAGAAATAAATTGGATCTTTTGGCCAATTCCTTTTTTGTTCCGTAACAGACTGCTATTAACTACATCCCGTATCATTTTATCGTTGATAAAAGAAAGAGGGAACAAGCAAAAAAAAAAGAAAGAGTTCAAGAAGGAGAAAGAGAGAGTTCATCTTTAATCAAGGTCAAATCTTCATTTGGCACGTCCTCGCTCGCGCCATCAAATATAATCACCAGAAAGCGCACCATCTTTTTTCCCTCTTCTTCTTTGGGACTCCTCCTCCCTTCTTCTTGCTTCACAGAAGCCAGCACCCTTTCTCCCTTCCTTCAGATTCGTTCTCGCTCTCTCGAATTGAATCTCTCTGTGAGAGAAAGAGGAGAGGGTGAGAAGACGAAGGAGAAGGTTGCCTTGGCAACGACAGAGGGTTTCTCGATGTGGTTGCCGAGGCAACCTGTAACCAGCGACCCCTAAATATGCGCCAGAAACCGCAGAGAAGAGAGCTAGAGTTTGGGGGAAAAATGAGGAAGAGAGGGGCATTTAATAATCGAGTTAAATGAAAGCTTTTCCAAAAAGAAATAACGAGAGGAGTTAAACCAAAGCAAGAAGTAACGAAAGTTCTTGTTACTTGTATTTTAAAACATGCAGTACGTTGTAAATACCTATCAACCATTCGTTGTAAATTTATTAGACAATTTTCTTTTGAGAGGATACTTTAGAAGTATGCAAAATTTACATGTGCATAAATTTATTCCACCAGATTATTCCTTTATTTCATTCCTTTACAGATATTAGATTTTCAGATCTAATAGAATTCGATACAAATAATCCTGAAAACTATAGCAGAATAATAACAGTAAGAATTTATTAATATTATATATAACATTTGTACTTTTATTTTGCATTTTATTTTGCGTGTAATCAAAGATTTCTTTACATTGAAAACATGCTCTCAAAATAATTTTCAAAATATTCGATTCTAAAGTAATGATCTTAGCAATTAACAAAGCTCGAGTAACTTTCTGGAGTACACGCAATTCAGAGATGTTAATTTCAAGGCGACGCGCTATTACGTAAAAGTCACTTTTTGCCGGAAATTAGGCTGACGCTCGTCTCGAGAGACCCAGGCGTATATAATGCGGAAACGGGAAAGACGAGCGCGAAGAGGAAAGCGGCGAGTTCCTAATTTACACAGCCGCCACATCCTCGAAGCCCTTTCCGGCCCAGACGGAACTTTGCCGGCGATTAAAACGCTTTAGTAATTAACTAGGTCTCCTCACCTTCCGCGAGTAGCAGTTACCGCCGCCACGCCACTAGCACTCCGAAACTCCTCGTCTTCCTTCTTCTTCCCATCCCCGACTTGTTTGCATTATTTAACGGTTAACCCTTTGCTGCAGTGGTACTCCAGCTCCGTAGCGAACAATTGTCGACGAGGAATGTAAATCGACGCATGCCAGAAAAACGTATACATGCATACAAAACCGAATGACACGCGCGTAAAAACGCGCGTATAGTGTGCTTCTAATTAATGATAAAAAGAAGAACGGGCGAGATATTGTCGACCAGATTAAATGGAAATATTTAGAGATTATCAGTCGCGGGGATCAGTCAACTGGAATTTTGATAGAACTGAATATTCGAATATGTGAGGAAGAAAAAATTTGATAGAATAAATTCATATAAAGTAAATGCGATATTTACTGATCCATCGAAAAAAAAGATATAATAAACAATCTCATTTAATTCTATTCCGTTTGTCTTCCTTCAAGATGCCGTCTTATTGATCGCCACTTAGATTTTTGATCACGCTGCAGTAAAC